CTTGACCTCCCAAACTCAGGTGATCCTCCTGCTTCAGCCTCCCATGTAGCTCAGACCACAGGTGTGTGCCACCATGCCTGGCTAATTTTTTAGTTTTTTTTTCTAGAGATGAGGTCTCACTAAGTTGCCCAGGCTTGTCTCTTAACTCCTAGACTCAAGCAATCTTCCTGCTTTAGCCTCCCAAAATGTTGGGATTACAGGTGAGAGCCACCACATCTGGCCTCTGTGTTTTTTTTTTTTTTTTGAGATGGAGTTTCGCTGTTGTTACCCAGACTGCAGTGCAATGGCACGATCTCGGCTCACCGCAACCTCCGCCTTCTGGGTTCAAGCAATTCTCCTGCCTCAGCTTCCTGAGTAGCTGGGACTACAGGCATGAGACCATGCCCAGCTAATTTTTGTATTTTTAGTAGAGACGGGGTTTCACCTTGTTGACCAGGGATGGTCTCGATCTCTTGACCTCATGATCCACCTGCCTCGGCCTCCCAAAGTGCTGGGATTATAGGCGTGAGCCACCGCACCCGGCCTCTATGTGGCTTTTTAACTCTGTGCTTCTGTCTCTTCTTCCCTCTTTCTGGCTCTGTCCAGCCTTCCTATGTATCTGTCTTTTGCTCTGTCTCCATCTGTGTCTCTCTATCTCTTCCTCCTCTGTCTCTCTCTCCAGGCCTTCGTTTGTGCCTCTTTGTCTTATTGCTACTTCATCTCTCTGTCTCCTGTCTCTATCTCTCCATCTCTGTATCTCTGTCTCTGCAAGGCTCTTTCTCTCCCTGGATAGCTCTCTCTCCATTGCTCTAATCTCTTTATGTTGCCTCTGTCATTCTCTATCCTGATCTCCATCTCTGGGTCTCTCTGTGTCTTTCTATGATTTTGTCTCTCTCCGATCCCTGCTTCTTTCTGTCTCTCTGCCTTGCATGATGTCTGCCTCCATCCCTTGGTCGCCTCTCCCCAGGTCTGGGGAGTTTCTGTCTCTCTGGGTTCTTACTTCCCTCTGAGTTGGCGTCTCAAGGATCAGTACTTTCTGTCTCTTTTTCCATCTTTCAGTCTGTCTCTCTCTGTCATTGTGTCTCCATCTTCATCTCTCAAGTTGTCTCCTTCCCTGGGGTGCTCACATCTCTCCCTGCTGTCTCTATTCCTGTTTCAACCTCTCTCTCTCCCTGCACCCTGCCCGTACCGCTACCACCGTCTGTCTCTCTCCTGTCTCTCCCTGGGATCTGCCCACCTCTTTCTCCCACTGTCTCTCTCTGGGATATCCTCTCTATCTCTGAATCTCTTTCTCACTATCACTAAGCTCTCTTCTTTATGTCGGTCTCTGTCTCTCTTCCTCTGTCTCTCTTTGGAATTTTCCTTTTTGTCTCTCGAATCTTCCATCCCCTCCTTCCTCTCATTCTCTTTCTCTCACTGTCTCATCCTGGAGTTTTCCTCCCTATCTATCTCTCTTCCAATGTCTCTCTCTGGGATTTCCTCAGTACCTCACTCCCAACGTCTCTCTTCTCTGGGACCTTCTCCTCCCCCCATATACAGATATAGATACAGATATAGATAGAGATATATAGATATAGATATACAGATATAGATATGGATATAGATATAGATATGTATACATCTGTCGGTCTCTTTCTGTAGGACCTTCCTCTCTCTCTCTGTATATATATGTGTATGTATATGTATATGAATGTATACATGAATATATCTGTCTCTTTCTGTAGGACTTTACTCTGTCTCTCTCTGGGATCTTCCTCTGTATCTCTCCCTCTTTCTCTAACTTTCTCTCTGGGATCTTATTCTCTATTTCTGTCTCTCTGAGATCTATCTCTGTCTCTGGGATCTGCTTCTCTATCTCTGTCTGTCTATGTCCCTCTGTCTGTCTCTCTCACTGTCTCCCTCTGAGACCTTCTCTGTCTCTGTCTCTGTCTCTCTCTGGGATCTTCCATGTGTGGGGCCATGGGGCGTGCTTAACAGAGGGTGGGCCTGGCCAGGTCCCTGGAGGACAGAGGAGGAGAGCAAGAGGCAGAAGCCCAGTCCTGGCTTGAGCTGCACGTGGTATGAGTGCCTGAAGTCCCAGTTTGGGAGCATGAGCGATAGGGAGGGCAGTGTTGGAGGCTGGTGGGAGGGGTGGGGCGAGGCTGGGTGCCGCCAGGGCCGCTGACAGGCCCTGCAGGCCCAGGGCCAAGCTGGGATCCGAGGCTCAGTGCGGCTCAGCGCTAATCTCCTCGTGACCTTGTAGAGGGCCTGAGCTCCCTGCTGTCTGCCCCCAGACCCAGAGGCTGAGTCGGAGGGTGGGGTGTGCAGGGAGGGGCAGCAGCCTGGAGATCTGGGAGCCTCAAGAAGGGGTGCAGGGGGTGGGAGGGAGGCTTGGCCCTGTGCCAGCCCTGCAGCAGCACTGCGTCTCAGATGTGGAGGCACAGAGGCTTGGGGGACGGGGAGACCATCTTTCATACTCCCCTGCAGAACCAGGGGTGGTTTCAGCCTTGCTCAATGGGATAAACTCAGGGACAGAGAGACATGGAGTGACGGAGAGATGTGGAGCCACAAAGGCGTGGGGTTGAGTCCTGTGCAGGAGGTCAGGAGAGGGCAGAGATGGGGTTCCGGAAAGAGAGGGAGAAAACCAGCTGCCCAGCTGCCCACAGAAAACCTTACCAAAGGCTGGGAGCTGATGCTTGTGGTGGTGGGGGTGGGCAGCCCATAAAAGCTAAGGGCGGGGCCCGACTCTTCGATCCTGAGAGAGGCTGAGGACCTGGACCCCTGGGTCTGAGGGAGGAGGGGCTGTGCCTGGACTCCTGGTCTGAGGGAGGAGGGGCTGAGGCTGGACACCTGGTCTGAAGGAAGAGAGGCTGTGCCTGGACTCCTGGTCTGAGGGAGGAGGGGGTTGTGCCTGGACTCCTGGTCTGAGGGAGGAGGGGCTGTGCCTGCATTCCTGGTCTGAGGGAGGAGGGGCTGGACCTGGACACCTGGTCTGAGGGAGGAGGAGTTATGCCTGGACTCCTGATCTGAGGGAGGAGGGTCTGGGCCTGGACTCCTGGTCTGAGGGAAGAGGGGCTGGGACCTGGACTCCTGGTCTGAGGGAGGAGGGACTGAGGGCCTGCATTTCTGGCTTACCCTGGCTCTGGCTTTGGTTTCTGCTCGCCCTTGCCATGACCAGACCTCCTTGAGGGCAGGCTCCCATCTGTTGGAGTGCAGAGCTGAGGCTTTCCCAATCAAGGCAGGAGGCCCAGATGGGCGCACTGCAGGGCAGGAGCACCTCCGAGGGTGGGGGCCATGCCTGGCTCGCTGTGGCCGCCTCTGCAGCTCCTTGCCATTTTCCATGCTGTCCGCCTCTTCCTGATCTGGTGCCAGCTCGCACAGCCTCTGTGCCTGGGCCAGCCTCCCCTTCCCCTCGCAGGGGACCTGGCCCACATCTCTGGGCATCCCTCCCTTGACCTCCTCCTTTGCTCTCTGCCTCCTCTTCCCATCCCTCAGGCTGACTGTGATTGCTGCTGGATAGGAAAGATCTGTCTTTGTGTCTCTTCCTCTGCGCCTCAGTTTCTCATTTTCTCTCTCAGTGTCCCTCTATGTGTCTCACCCATGTCTCTCTGCTTGTCTCTGTCTCTTTGTCTTTATGTCCATGTCTCTTTTTGTGTCTTTTTCAGAGCATCTCTCTCTGTCTTTCCATGTGTCTCTGTCTTTCCCTCCCATGTCTAAGCTGCCTTCATTTCACCTCTCATCCCCACTCCTTTTCCGAAGACCCACCCCCCTACTTCCTACTCTAGGGCTTTGAGCATCAGTCTTCTCTCCCAGTCCATCTGCAGCTTCTCTTCCTCCATTCCACTTACCTGACAGCAGTCACTAACTACTCCTTTCTCCCTTCTCTCCCCTAGTCCTGCCCCAACCCAATTCTCCTTCCCAGCCCCCTTGGCCCCACCCCCACCCCACAGATATGCAGCCCCATCCCCCCACCTCCATCCCTGGGCCCATCAGCCTTTATCCGCCATCTTTCTCCCCAGCCCTCATACCCCCCTTCCACTGGCCTCTCCTGCCCTCTGCATCACACCTACCCCCTCCTACCCCACCCTCTCCACCCTTGATTCCCCCCTGCCCAGCCCCACCCCGGACACACAGGGAGGAATCCAGGGCTGCAGCAAGGGTCAGGTGGTCACCCAGGGAGGGAGGCGGCATCTGCTGGAGAGACTCACAGACAGACAAGGACACACGGATACAGAGGCAAGGACACAGACAGGTATGCACACTCCCCACTACACATTTGCACACGCACACCCTCAGCCGTGCGCTCAGTCTCCCCACCGTGGCTCTCCTGTTCCTCTCCTCCTTCCAGCCTCCCATGCCTGCTCCCCTACAATAGGGGCTGCACACACACACACTGCAGCCCTAGGCTGCGACACTGCGGAGCCTGCATACACACACACATACGCGCGCGCGCACACACACACACACACACACACACACACACACTGCGGAGCCCCCCCCATCCAGGCCTGGAAGGAGAAAGAGAGGTCATCTGATGTCCATCCCATAGCCCGGACCTATCCGCACCCTGCCAGGGAAGCCGGGGCGGGGGTGGGGGAAACTTCAATAACCCCAGATGCACTAACAGGAGCTCTCAGACACACCCAGACGTGATGGCAGACTTTCAGACACCACGGGGGCCACACACTTGCTGCCAGGGCCTGACCGAGCCAGGAGCTCCCATACACAAATGCAACCGTGCACATGCAACACGACAAGGTCAGGCAGAAATGCTGAGGGCTGGCCCTCGACCCCGGGGACCCCCGCACACAAAGCCATGCCAACGTGCGCCACAGGCCCCCTGCCGCCCCCAGCGGCCCCGTGCACACATTTGCAGCAGCCCCAAGACCACACGGATCGGCCAGGTCAGCCGGCACCCCGTGTGTGGCAGGCCTAGCCAGGTGCGCAGGGGACCAGGAGCCCCCGCCCCCCGCGCACACCCAATGTCACCAGCCCCACAATGTCACACAGAAGCGGCGCCCAGTCGGCCGGCCCAACACCTACCCCCATCTTGGCGGCTCCGCAGGGAGAGGGCCGGGCGGGCGCGTCGGGGGCCTCGGGGTGGGCTCAGGCGCGGGCTAGGGCTGGGGACCTCTGCAGCGCCCGCGCCTCTGTCGGTGTGCGCGTCCGTCCGTCCGTCGATCCCACCGCACAGAGGCTGCGGCGGCCGCCGCCTCCGCCTCCTCATATGCCCGCGTCCGCGGGAGGGGGCGGAGCTGGCCAATCAGGGGCGGCGCCGCGCTGACGGACGGCCCGCGGCCCCGCCCCTGGTACTGCAGCTGTCCTCTCCCCTGGGCTCCGCAAAGTGGCCGCGCGGCCGCTAAGGGAGAGCTCTGCGGGGGCGGGGGGATTCCCGGAGACCACCGCAATAGGGGACTTGGAGATCCCCTCAATATGGGGTGGGGCCTCCAAGGAGGGGCGCTGAGGGAAGGAGAACCTCGGAAATACCCTCATTGTGAAGGTGTGCCATCAGCGAGAAGGGTGCACTGAGGGAGGGGAGTAGTGACACGGGATGGGAGGAAAGCTCGGTGAATCGCTGCAGTGTGGCACCAGGGCCTCTGAAGACGGTGGAGGGGGGTATGTTCAGGAAGAGGGCCCCGCAGGAGGGGAAATTGGAGGGGGACACAAGAGAGCTAGGAAGGCCCTGCATTTGAGGAGGGGTGCTGGGGGGAGGAACCCTGAGATTTCCTCACTGTGGGTGCCCCCACTACGCCTGAACTATCCAATGAGACACAACCACACAGGGTACACGGGAGACACAACACGGTGGAGGAGAGCCCCAGGAAACCCAGAAAATGCCCAGTGTCACAGTTGCACAGGACCATCAACCTGATAGTCCAGATGCTGGGGACATGCACACACCACAGGGTCAAACTTACATTCCATCACACACCAGCATGTACCTACCCTCACACACACAACAATACCCCATCGCACAAACCCAGAGTCTCAAACATGTAGAGATGAAACATATATATGGCACACACACACACCCATCACACCACAAGAGAATCACAATCACAGCCACAAAGTGCTGTGCAGACTCACACGGACTCTAGAACATCACAGATTCACACACCACACACTACCACACCTGACCTCCCAACATCTCATAGAAACCCACACCATGCAACTGTAAACCAACACACATGTGCACTCAGCACCATCACACAGGCACAGGTCTCACACTGCCTTCAGACACACAACATCAGCCTTTGTGGACATCGTTTCATGATCCCACAATGTCACACTCATCACACACATTGCTCCCCAGTGTGTCTGGGCATGAGCAGTGGCCCACAGTACAAAATTGCCTATGCTAACTGTGAGTGACAGACAAAAAGGTGCACACACACACAAAGTACAATAATTCAAACACAAGTCATGCGACACCCACACACCTTCCACACATACATCACGTTATTGCGGCACTACACAGCCATCTTTGTTGCACCTCCAAACACACCCCAACTCCCTCACCCACAACACACAGTATATGTACACTCACAGACGCACAGCCAGCACCCATACCTCAGGCCTGCCACCAACACAACACCCCACCAGCCACCCCACTGGATCCCAAGAAGTTGAGGCCTCTCCACCCCTCCAATGCCACTTTGTTCTATGAGGAACACCACAGACACTCCCTGGGGATGATAGAAAGGGAAGGGAGAAAGAGAGAGAGAGAGAGAGAGAGAGAGAGAGAGAGAGAGAGAGCGCATTTGACCTTGTAGCTTTCTCAGAATGTGTGTATCCTCCCCACCCATAGGAGAAGAGACGTGAGGGACACAGGCAAGGGACAGGGAGTGGTGTATGAGGGTGGGTGGATGAAGGTCGAGGACCTGGTGCAGGGAAATGTGTGAAAGGCTTCGGGCCAGAGAAAGGCACAGAAACAGAGAGAGATTCAGAGCCACAGCACAGAGACAGAGAGGACAGAGACAGGGCCAGGAAGTGGATGGAGGCTTTCCCCAGCGCCCAGAGCCCCATCCCAATCCTGTCCTCTGACCCGTCCCCATCTTTCCCGCTGTCCTTTGTTGCCATGGTAGCAGGGAGGCTGCTTCTGCAGCAAAGGAGGTTGGGCCTGCAGACTCGGCTGTTGCTATGGAGACTGGGAAAGGGGGAGGAGCCACATCTTTTAACCCAGGTGCCTCGCCCCCAGATGCCCCCTCCTCAACTCTGCCCCTTCCTGGGGCAGGGAGAGGCTATCAATATATCATACCTTCCTTCTCTTGACACCTTGGCCTAGAGGCATGGGCCTGGACCATGGAGAATGGGTTTGGGAAGATGGAGAAGCCTGGGGAGGTGGGGGAGGCCTGGATTCCAGGAGATTCTAGGCTGTCTGCTCTTGCTCTCCAGCTGGGCCGGGGGAGGCCTCGAGCCCTTCCCATCCCACCTCAGACACAAGCTCACGTTCCCCCCCCCCCATGCACTCCCTCCTCAGGCATGAGCCCGATGAGACTGATGACTGTGCATCGTGCTCCCAGCGAGGTTCTGCAGAAGAGGGGGGGTGGTGAGGAGGAAAGACCTGGGAAGGTCACAGGGATAAAGGGGGATAGGGGAGCTAGGTGTGAGAGGTGGAAGGAGAGACACAGGAGGAGAAACAGGCAGCCCAGAACCAGAGAGAGGCAGATACAGACAGACTGAAAAAGAGAGATTGGCAGACATAGAGATGAGAACACAGAAACAGTGCAACGGAAGAGCTCAGTGAAGGTGACAGAGACACGGGGACATGGAGAGCCAGGCAGAGACAGGTTTGGCAAACCAGGAAGACTCAGAGATAAAGGCCGGGGGGGAGACTGAGCAGAAACTTGGTGGGGGATAGGGGACTCAGAAATGAGGAAAGACCCCAGAGGGGATCAGCCTCGAGGCATTGGGACAGAGAAGGGGGAGAAACCAGAAATGTCTGCAATCGCATTCCAGTCACCTCGACAGACAGAGTCCGGCCCCAGGGCAGAGACATTGACTGGGGTGTTTAAGAGATGTGGAGACAGATGGGGGACAACAGAGAGGCTGGTGCTCGCCCCACCTGTCCGAACGGCACGCAGGCAGCCAGGGTCTAAGACGCAGAAGGGGCCGGGTGGCGACGGGGGGGTGCTGCGTGCCGCACAGAAGCCTCCTGGGGTAGGGGCCTCCAGGGGTGTGGCAGGCCTGCCAGGGAAGTCGGGCGCGCTGGGCTCAGGCTGGCCAGCTGGGTGCTGAACGGACAGCTCCCAAGACCCGCCCAGCCTCGCCCTCTCTGGGACCCTCCCAGTCTGGCTTTCCCCTCTGTTCTAGCCCCCTTCAGGCTCCATTTAGTTTTTTATGGTTTCCTGTCTCTCACCCCAATTCCGGGTGTCTCTTACCCTTCCGCCTCACCTCTGGTCCCAGCCCTCTACTCCTTCTCCAGTCTTCTCACCTCACCCTGCCTCTGTCCCTGTCTCACCTGCTCTGTGCCCCTAGCTCTCTCCCCATCCCTCTCCCGCCCACTATGCCCCCTTCGTTGTCTCTTCCCATCTCTGTCTCTCGCCATCCCTCCATCTCTCCCTTTCTGCTCGGCCTCGTTTTGGCTTTTGCTGTGTGACCTTCACTCGTCCTTTCTCAGCTGCAGTTTCCACAGAAACCTCCGGCGGGGCGAGGGAAGGCGGGGACAGAAGGCGGACCCACCCTTCTGCGCCATCAGCCCTTCAGCCTCTCCCACCCGTATGCCCTCCCACACCCCCCCAACACACTGGGCTTCCTCGCTTTCTCCTGGGGCTGAGAAGGTATATTTTCAATAGAAACATGGGGTCACAGTCTCAGACAGTTCAAGATGGCCTCGCGGATGTGCCCACACACCATCATAACAACACTGAATCACTCTGGCCAAGGCACACTCAGGCACACGCTCGCCACCCCAAGCACGGCCACACTCAACAGCTCACTGGCCCTCCCTTCCTCCAGCCCCATCTGCTTTCTGTCTTTCTGTGTCTCCGCTTCCGGTGTCTCTGATCTCCAGATCCCTGCATCTCTCCATCTGTCTCAGGGTCTCTGTCGCAGCCTCCCTCTGTCCTGAGAGAAGGTCAGCAGAGAGGGGCCAACTGCTGGGACCTGGGCTGGCCTGCAGGCTGTGGGCAGGGCCGAGGGTGGAGAGAGCATGGAAGTGACTATGGAGGCTCACTCTAGCTCTCAGTAGGTGCCCCGGGGACCCAAGCCTCCAATGCCCTCACACCCCCAGGAAATGAGAGCCGGCATCCCCAGTTCTGGGGTTTTGTTCTTTTTTTTTATTCCAACAGGGTCTGAGATGTGGCAAGGGGAGGGATGGGGGCCCAAGTGACCCCCTCCCTGGGGGGGTCTCATAGAAATTCTGAGGTTTCTCCCCCCCAAAAAAGAGAGGAAGATAAGAGAGGAGGGGCACCAGGGGACACCCATCTATCCAGAGGCCCTCCCCACCTCCAGAAGCGTGGGAGGCTGCGACAAGTCTTGGGGAGCCTGAGCAGTCCCAGGATGGGGTCCTCCCGTGGACTGCTTTCCGCTTCCCGGAGTGGTCCCAGAAGTCCCTAACCCCTGGAGTCCTCAGTTCCTGCGCCCTTCTCGCCCGCGGCACCCTCTGGCGAGTCCACTGGGGGGCGCAGGCGGGCTCCAGAGCCCGGCCTCGGACTTCATGGGGAACCCAAGGCAAAATCGCGGCGTCTGGGGCGCCGGTGCACAAGTCCGGTCCCGCACCCGCTGCAGGAGGCTAGACGGCCGGGGCCTGGGGCGGGCCCAGTCCCTGCAGTCAGTCTGGGCGCCCGCAGGGCCCCGCCCGTGGTCACTCGTGCTCCGCCAGCTCCCGGGGGCCGGCGGGGCCAGGCCGCGGCCGGGGTGGGCTAGTGGCCTCAGGGGGGGCGCCCAGGCCACGCGGGGGCGCGCCGGTCCCCGAGGCCCGCAGCGCTTGGATGCGCCGGCACTCCTGGCAGACACGCACGTGGGTGCAGGGGGTGGGGGCGGCGGGCCGGGCTCCACTGGGGGGTCCCGGGTCGTCCAGGAGGCGCTGCGGGCCCCCGTGCGCGCCGCCCGCATCCCCGCCTGCGCCGGCCGAGTAGAGCTTGCCGTTGCTGAGGCGCATCTCGCGGACCGCGCGCAGCGACAGCAGGGCCCGGCTCGGGCCGCCCGGGCGCCGGCGCCGGCGGGAACGCGACGTCTTGCGGCAAGACACGGCGTGGCGCAGCTCCTGCAGCATCTCCTGGCACACCGACACCTGGGGGCGGCGCGGGCGGTCACCGTCCCAGCACAGTCCGCCTCCCGCCTCCCCTAGCCCCTCTCCACACCCCACTCCTCCTTTCCTCTTCCGAGTCTTTCTTCCTTCCGCCCCCTTCCCACTTCTCTTCTATCTCCCCCGTGTTTTCTGCTTCCCCTTTCCACCTCTTCCCACTTATCTCCAATGTCTCCATTCTTCTCTGTATTTGTTCCTGAATCTGCCCTTCACCTTCTATCTAGGCTCCTCTAGTGTTTTCACTCTCTCTAAATTTTCTTCAGTTTCTTCCCTCTTACTGATTTCCCATCCTCTGCCCCTCATCCATTTGTTCATTATTGCAAGGCATATTTACCCGACGCCTGCTGTGTGCCTGGTACTGTTCTTGGCACTGGGGATACTGCAGAGAACAAAACAGACAGAAGTCCCACCCCTCGTGGAGATTATGCTCAAATGTGCATGCAGAAGATAACACACATGTATGTAGTGTGTTAGGCGTGATGAGTGCTTTGGAGGTAAATAAAATCGGGAAGAGGCCTAAGCAGTATGGTGGGAAGTGAGGATGAATTCTGAGACAGGAAGTCAAGGAAGACCTCACTGAGAGAAGGATCCTTAGTTAAGACAGGGTGAGCCACATGGAGACCTGGGAGGACAGCATGCTGGACAGACAACAGGGCAGGGCCGAAGTGCCCAGGTGGGAGTGGCTTGGCATGTCTGAGGCACTGCAAGCAGCTCAGTGTGGCTGGAAGGAGGTGTGCACAGGGAAGAAGACAGAAAGATGAGGTCAAAGGAGCAGTGGCGGCCAGCTCTGCTAAGGCACATAAGCCACTGGAAGGATTTTTGGCTTTCATTCTGAAAATCAGAATGGAAGAGTCAGATGAGAGTCATTGGAGAGCTTTAGGTAGAGGACTGCTGTGTTTTCACGGGATCGCTCTGGAGCTGTGTTGAGAACAGACTGCAGGGAGGCCAAGGGCAAGAGCAGGAGACCCATGGAGGAGGCTATGACAATAACCCAGGCAGGAGATGGGCGTGGCTGGACCAGAGCAGCCTGAGAAGGGGCTGGATTCTGGACATATTCTGAAGGTGGAGCCAATAGGATCTGCTAAGAGATCAGACATGGGGCATGGAAGAGAGGGAATAGTGAAGGAAAACTCCACGTATTTTGGCCTGAGCAACTGGAAGGACTAAACTGCCTCATGGGTGGGCAGAAGACCAGTGTTGGACACATCACATCACGTGCACACCTATCAGACAGCCAAGGAGAGACAAACATTTGTGGGTTAAGGCAGGCAGCCTTCAAGTCCCCACCTCCCACGTCCATGCCCCTGTGTAATTCCTTCTGAAACTATCAGAGCTGGTCTGCGTGACCAACAGAATAAGGCTTGACCACTGCACATTCTGGCTTCCACCTTGCTCTCTTTGATCACTCGCCGTGGGGGACCTCAGTTGCCATGGTGTGAGGACACTCAAGCAGGCCTTGGAGAGGTCCTTGTTTGAGGAATTGAGGCATTCTGCCAATTGCCATGTGAGTATATTCATCATGTTTTTTTATTTTCTGTGTCTCAGGATATACTGACACCTTAAATATCTTGCAGGCTGGGGAGAGACTACCCCTCCCAGAACTAGCCAAGACTTAGAGATAGCAGAGGGCTCAGCCACCTTTCATGTGCAAACCAACCAATCCCGAGTCTGGGGAGTAGTCTATACCCCCAACCTCTCCCTTTACCTAACTCTTACATACCAAGCCAATATTCTTCCTGCCCTAAATCAACCCAGGGTCAGGTGCCAGATGACTGGGGACAGCCCCTATAGCCCAGAGTCCACTGACATTATTCAAACTGGTCAATCATAAGCTATTTCCTCTGCCCTGCATTGCCTTTCCCGAGGAAACCCCAATAAAGGCTGCAGGCTGCTGGCCCCTGCTTCTAGTGCTTCCCCTATGCCCTCTTCTCCTGGGAAATGTTAAGGAATAAAAATCATTTTTCTTTTTTTTTTTTCTTTTTGAGACAGTCTCACTCTGTTACCCAGGCTGGAGGGCAGTGGCACAATCTTGGCTCACTGCAACCTCCACCTCCCGGGTTCAAGTGATTCTCCTGCCTCAGCCTCCCGAGTAGCTGGGACTACAGGTGTGCACTACCATGCCTGGCTAATTTTTGTATTTTTAATAGAGGCAGGGTTTTACACCCTGTTGCTGGTCGTGAACTCCTTGCCTCAAGTGATCTGCCCAACTCAGCTTCCTATAGTACACTTGGCCAAAAATCATCTTTCAATGGAATTGGTCTCTCCATCTTGTCACTCAATCACCTCCATAACTAAAATCCCATGGGACATTTGAGACCGTGAGCAATCTTGGAAGGGAACCCTCCAGCCCCTGTTGAGCCTTCAGAACACAGCAGTCTGGAGAACATGACTATGACCTCACCAGAGACCTGCAGCAGCCAGAACCATTCAGGTAAGCTGCTCCCAGGCTCTGGACCCACAGAAACTGTGAACCAATAGAAGCTGGCTTTTAAAAGCTGTTATTTGTTATGATAGCAACAGATAAGTAACACAAGAGTCACCAGCACATAGGGGGTTTTAAGAGCCATTTGGCTGGTGGGATCACAGAAGGAGTGAAGAAAGACTGAGAAGAGAAGCAGTCTAAGGACCAAGCCCTGGAGCCCCACAATAAACAGAGGCTGGGGAGAAAGAGGAACCCAGTAAGGGAGCCTGGGAAAAAGTGGTCAGAGAGGTGGAGAAGGGCTTTGAGGACTGAGAGTGACTGGCTATGCCAAAGCCCATTGCTACCTCATATAGATGAGGCCTGAGACCGGGGATTTCAGGTGTGGAAGTTGCTGGTGACAAGAGTGGCTTTGGAGGAGTGGTGGGGACAGAAGCCAGATTGGAGGAGGGGCAAGAGGAAATGGGAGGAAAGAAGAAACTGGAAGCATCAGGGAGACCCCCTCCACCAAGGCTGTAAAGGGAAGAGGAGAAAGGGGGCAGTGGCTGAGAGGAAAAGTGAGGTCAGGAGAGGGTTCCTTTAAGACTGGAGAAATGACAGCACATTTCTATGTTGGTGGCCTGAATCCAATAAAGAGAAGACAACTGATGCTACAGGAGGAAAGGAGAGACTTGCTTGAGGGATGTCCTTGGGAAGGCAACCTGGACACGGGTGGAGGGCGCCCTTGTTAGCAGCATGGACAGCTCCTTCTGAGGAGACCTCGGGCCAAGTGGAGAACACTGGCAGGCAGCTGGATGCAGAGCTGGGATCTGGGGAGTAGATGCAAGGTCAGCCACTAGATGTGAGGAGGGGCTGGAGGCTGGCAGGGAGAGGGGAAGTGGGAAACCAGCAGTCCAGGGGTGCAAGAGCATGAACGGGTCTGGAAACTCAGGGGTGTGACACGGAAGCAGCCCTCCTGAATACAGTGTGAGACCAGTCCAGGGCTTGTCCTCTTCCAGTTGCATGAACTGCTGTCTCCTCACCTGTTTCTCTTTTTTTTTTTTTTGAGATGGAGTCTCCCTCTGTCGCCAAGGCTGGAGTGCAGTGGCACGATCTTGGCTCACTTCAACCTCCACCTCCCAGGTTCAATTGATCCTCCCACCTCAGCCTCCCAAGTAGCTGGGATTACAGGCATGTGCCTCCATGCCTGGCTAATTTTTGTATTTTTAGTAGAGACGGGGTTTTGCCATGTTGGCCAGGCTGGTCTTGAACTCCTGACCTCAGATGATCCACCTGCCTTGGCCTCCCAAAGTGCTAGGATTACAGGCGTGAGCCACTGTGCCCGGCCTTGTTTCTCCTCTTATTCTTCTTGCTTTCCCGCCTCTGTGGCTCCCCATATCCTGCCCCTCAGCTCCTCTCCCTGCATCCTCATCACTTCCTGTGCCCACTTTCCCTCCTGTTCTTCCTCATGTGCTGATTCTCTGGCCCCCTGTCAGCTCTCTTACTTCCCCACCTTCTGCATTTCTCCACCCCCTTCTCATGATCCCCATTACCCTCAAGGTATGGCTCCCAATGCCACGATCTTCATGAACCTCAGCCCTTGGGGGCTCCCTGTTCCTGCCCACCCCGCTGCCAGCCTCCTCACCTCCTCGGACTCTGCTGACCTCCGTGTGGACCATATGAATTCCATGACCGCCACGAAGACAGCAATGATGAGGCCACAGATGAGCACAACGAAAATGCCACCAATGTTCTCCATGCCCAAACCTGGGGGGTGAAGGGAGGTGGGGAGTCACAGAGTCGGGATTGTGTGGGAAGGGGGCTGGGATTGTGGGATGGGGACACCACTCATAGGGGCTGACCTTTAGCTCGATGGTCCTCCTCCTTGGGGCACCGGCCCCCCTCCCACCACTTGCGCTTCAGGATCTCCAGCCGGTTGTTCTCCTGAAGCTGCAGGATGGCCAGTGTGATCTCATCCCGGAACGGGGAGCCTGGGCGGGCACACGAGGGCTGGACCAGCCATCGGGGCCCTAGAGCCCTGCCCACCCAAAGCCCCAAACTGTGCCCTCACCATGGCCTTCCCCGGCCTCCACCACGTGCCTGGGGTCTTCCCTGTGGCCTCTCCTCACCCCCAACCCAGTCCCCTCTCAACACAGCAGCCAGAGAGACAGTGTTAGGAAGAGTCTGAGATCATGCCTTTCCTGTGCTCAGGACCCTTCAAGGCTTCCTGTTGCAAGGTCCTCCCCTCAGCCACTCTCAGACACCCTTACCCCCACAACTCTCTCAGCTCCAGCCCCACCAGCCTCCTAGCTGCTCCTTGAATCCATCACGTACAATCCCATCTTAGGACCTTTGCCTCTGCCTGGAATGTCCCTTCCCGCACTTCATTCAGGTCTCTGCCCACATGCTGGCTCCTCAGGAAGTCGATTCGGATGACTTTATTTAAAATGGCACCACGTGCCCCACTCCCTATCAGTGTCTTCCCTTTAACTTACTTTGGAGCAGCTGCTACCACCTAACACCGTATTATATGGCTATGTGTTCATCAACTGTTGTCTGCAGCCCCACCAGGGTATCCAGCATCCAGTGTGGGATTTGGCATGTGGTAGGGCAGCAGACGAATTGCCATCTACACCTCTCGCTGGACCACCTCTCCCCGGACCACCTCTCCCCATCCTCAGGTCCTGCCCTTAAGCCATCCTTGAGACCCAATACCCCACACACCCTATTCTGGACTTATTTCTTTATTCGCTAAGATACTTCCTGACCATCTACCACAGAACCAGAGACATGGGCAGGTGCAGGTAATTCATATCTATCAGGCACCAACCATGTGCCAGACACTGGGTTTATTCAGGTCTCATGATGATCCTGTGAGGCAGGAATTCTCACCTGAGGCAAGTGTTTCTGAATGAGGAAAGTGATACACTTGCCTAAGGTTGTGCACTGAGTCAGAGAGGAAACTGGGATTTCTTTTCTTTTTTTTTTTTTGAGAGAGAGTCTCACTTGGTTACCCAGGCTGGCACATAGTGGCATGATCATCGTTCACTGCCACCTCCACTTCCTGGGCTCAAGCAATCTTCCTACCTCAGCCTGTAGCTGAGACTACAGGTGCATACCACACCTGATCAATTTTTAAATTTTTTGTAGAGACAGGGTCTTGCTATGTGGCCCAAGGTGGTCTCAAACTCTTAGGCTCAAGTGATCCTTCCAGCTTGGCCTCCCCAAAGCACTGTAATTATAGACATAAACCACAGTGGCCGGCTGGAACTGGGATTTGAATCCAGGTCAGTGTGTCTCCTGGGCCTGTCCTCCAAGCACCAAGCTACACTGCTTCCCTGTCACCAACTCACCTAAAAGCTGCTAAGATGGGGGCAATTTGCTGTGTGGCGGTAGATAATTAATACAGGTGTCATCAGTACACAGATTATTTTAAAAGCCAAAATACCAAGATTTGGAGACAAATTGGTCATAAGTTCCAGCACAGAGTCCTGGAAAAACATGTCCTGGGTTGGGCGTGGTGGCTCACACCTACAATCCCAGAACTTTGGGAGGCCAAGCAGGCAGACCACCTGAGGTCAGGAATTCACAAGACCAGCCTGGCCAATATGGTAAAATCCTGTCTCTACTAAAAACATAAAAATTAGCCGGCCATGGTGGTGGGCACCTGTAATCCCAGCTACTCAGGAGGCTGAGGCAGAACTGCTTGAATCCAGGAGGCAGAGGCTGCAGTGAGCTGAGACTGCACCACTGCACTCCACCCTGGGGGACAGAGCAAAAGTCCGTATCCAAAAAAAAAAAAACAGTCCTGAAATAGAAATAGGTACATCTGAGTCTCCCTATCAGATCCTTCCATCTATCCTACAAGCATTTTCCAAGCACCAGCTCTGAGCCAGGCTATAGGTTTTGTGCAGGAAATAGGAAGCAAATAAGACCAGGTCCCCACCAGGTGCAGTGGCTCACGCCTATAATCCCAGCACTTTGGGAGGCTGAGGTGGGCAGATCATCAGGTCAGTAGATCAAGACCATCCTGGCCAACATGGTGAAACCTCATCTCTACTAAAAAAAATAAAAACAAATTAGCTGGGTGTGGTGGCATACACCTGTAGTCCCAGCTACTCAGGAGGCTGAGGCAGGAGAATTGCTTCAACCTAGGAGGCAGAGATTGCAGTGAGACAAGATCGCGCCACTGTACTACAGCCTGGGTAATAGTGCAAGACTCGGTCTCAAAAAAGAAAAGACCAGGTCCTCACCCTCAAGGGGTCCTTGTGGGAAGACAGCAAGCCCCACCACCCACATGTACTGAACTCTCCCAACAGCTCTGTGGGGGCTGGACTGTTGCTAGGCCTGGTTTTGCAGGTTGGGGGTACAGACTCAAGATGGGGATGTCACCTGCCCAAGCCCATATAGCCAGGAGGCCACATGCAACACACCCAGCCTGCCTCGGGGAGGGCCTGGCCTGGTCCTGGCCTGCTCACAGGTGGTTTTGGATGCCTAGGGCCCCACCATGTTTTACACTGCCCTGCGCCATACCCAGCGGCATGCCGATGCCGTAGCCCTTGGTGTCGAGGAGGCCCCCGATCTGGGTGAGGTTGCAGTTGAGGCGCCGGTGATATTCATTCATGGTGGACTCAAGCAGGAAGGCGTAGCGGGAGTTGAGGACACGGGCGATGCCCTCTTCTGTGCTCTTGACAAACACGCTGGGCTGCTTTGACTGCATGTAGTTCCACATGCGCTGGTACGTTTGGTACCGTGAATTCTGGGCAGGCGGAGCACAAGGGGAAGACAGGGGAGGGTCTTTCCAAAGCTTCCTTTCCCCAAGCCCTTCCTATCCCGTCCTCCAGGAAGTCTCCCTCAACCCAGGAGAGCGTGAGGTGATCAAAGGAAGACAGAAAGAGCCAAAGGCAGAGGAGAGATGAGACAGACAAATTGTCCAGGCCATGTCCAAGTCATCCCCACAGGCACCATGCCCACCAACCACCTGGGAACCCTCCACCTCCTCCCCTTTAACCCTCCAGCCAGTGGCCCCTGCCTAGCTCAGGCCTCCTTTAGACCACTAGGAACCTCCCTGCCAAGCTTGCTTTCCTTTTCCTTCTCACCACCCCAAAATACAAAGGATCAAGCACTTTTCACCTTCAAGAGCCTTCCCTTCTCTCTGCCAGCCCATATTCCTGGGCCCGACCCTTCCAGCAGCCTTCCTTGATCCCATCTGGCCCATATGACATTGACATTTGATCCCACATATGCCTCCCTGCCCTCATTCCTCAGTTCCCCAGCCAGCCAGCCACCATCCCCATGAGAGCACAAACGTGGCTTCTACTACCCAGCCTCCCAGGCTGTCACTGACAATCACTCCCTCTGACCCAAGAGGCCCTGTCCAGCCCCATTCTGAGCTGCTATGCATGGCAGGAATCCCAACACCACACCTGAGGGGTTCTGGTGGCCCCACCTGGAAGAAGGTCATGGTGGAGCCGGCGTGGATGGTGCCGTACTCGATGTTGGTCTGATCTGCCAAGTCATCAGCCGACTCCACAGGCACCTCCATGCGCTGCACGGTGAGGAAGGCGGCCAGGTTGGCCGTGTAGGAGGAGATGATGATCAAGGTGAAGGCCCACCTGAGGGGTGGGAGGGGTAAGCCACGGGCTGGAGCCACCCCTGCTGCCCTACCCCTGTGACCATGCCCTCTATTGGTGGTGCCCCCCTCCAAGTGACCCCAGCATCTGGGAAGGCTCAGTGACTGCTGGGTTCAGAAGCAGGGAATAGGGATTCTGAAGCCAGACTTGCGGGTTGTAAATATTGCATCCAGAAAATTCTACTTCCAGATATAAAAGAGTAAGATGGTCTGGAAATACCCTCCCACCATAAACAGCTAAAGAGCTGGATAGAATACAGAAAAAAATTTTTTTTAGAGATAGAGTTTCATTCTTTCTGCCCAGGATGGAGTGCAGTGGCACGATCTCAGCTCACTGCAACCTCCACCTTCTAGGTTTAAATGATTCTCCTGCCTCAGAATCCCAAGTAGCTGGGGATGCATCTGCCATCACACCTGACTAATTTTTGTATTTTTAGCAGAGACGGGGTTTTGTCATATCAGTCAGGCTGGTCTCAAATTCCTGACCTCAGGGGATCCACCTGCCTCAGCCTCCCAAAGTATTGAGATTACAGGTGTGAGCCACTGCACCCAGCCAGAAAACTTTTAAAGACATAGGATAACAGACATCATAGGACTGTGATCCCTGAGAAGAGAAACAAAGTGAGTCTTATTGTCCAGGCTGTTCAGCTGAATTTAATTTTTAGGAAGGGAAGCCCAAACAGCCCAGCTATCCTTCTGAGTTGCAGAGATGGAGACTGGAGATCAGGGAGGCCAAGATGGCTGGAATTTGGGGGATAGAGTACCCGAGAAGAGAGAGCTGCACAGAGAGAGAGGGTTCAGGAACTCGTGGTTCCCTTGAGTCTTTGGCTGAATATCAATCTGTGCCTGCATGGGGCGAAACTCTGTGGGGCTGAACAAGAGCAACTTTCAAGGAGACAACAATTCTTAGGGTTCATACAGGGCTAAGAATCTTTTGAGCTCCCTCCAGCCAGAGTAGAAAGATTTCATTGAATACATGAGATATTCAGTAGAGACCCAAAAGTGTAACATACTAGAAATAGGATTAAATCAGCCCTAGAATAAAGGCAATGCTAAACCTGCCTTAAAAGAGCTTAAAAACAGGCCTGCAAGGATCAAAGTAATTTGCAAGTAACTTAACTGCCTTCCAGAAAAAGTCTCTAACACTCTTTAAAGAAATATATTCAGCAATGTAAACAATGTAAAATTCACAATGTCTGCCGTGTAATTTTTTTTTTTTTTTTTGAGACGGAGTCTTGCTCTGTTGTGCAGGTTACAGTGCAGTGGCACAATCTTGGCTCACTGCAACCTCCACCTCCTGGGATTACAGGCACCTGCCAGCAGGCCTGGTTAATGTTTGTATTTTTAGTAGAGACGGGGTTTCACCATGTTGGCAGGTTGGTTTTTGATCTCCTGGCCTCAGGTCATCTGCGTGCCTCGGCCTCTCAAAGTGCTGGGATTACTGCCATGAGCCACTGCGCCTGGCCTATTATGTTAATTTTTTAAAGAAAACCAGGCTGGTTGGCTGGGCACAGTGGCTTATGCCTGTAATTCCAGTACTTTGGGAGGCCGAGGCGGGCGGATCACAAGGTCAAGAGATCAAGACCATCCTGGCCAACATATGAAACCCCATCTCTACTAAAAATACAAAAATTACCTGGGCATGGTGGCGCATGCCTGTCTTCTCAACTACTCTGGAGGCTGAGGCAGGAGAATCACTTGAACCCATGAGGCGGAGGTTGCAGTGAGCTGAGATTGCAGTGAGCTGAGATAGTGCCACTGCACTGCAGCCTGGTGACAGAGTGAGACTCCATTTCAAAAAAAAAAAAAAAAAAACGGTGGCTCACACCTGTAATTACAGCATTTTGGGAGGCCAAGGTAGGTGGATTGCTTGAGGCCAGGAGTTCAAGGATAACCTGGCCAATATGATGATATCCTGTCTCTACTAAAAATACAAAAATTAGCTGGGCATGCAGTGTATGCCTGTGATCCCAGCTACTTGGGAGGCTGATGCATGAGAATTGCTGGAATACAGAAGGTGGAAATTGCAGTGAACCAAGATCACACCACTGTACTCTGGCCTGGGTGACAAAGCAAGACTGTCTAAAAAAAAAAAAAAGGACCAGGTAAACAAAGGTGCAGGAAAATATTAGCAGTCAAGGACAAGAAAACAGCTATATATATTTTTTTTTTGAGATGGAGTTTTGCTCTTGTTGTCCAGGCTGGAGTGCATGGTGTGACCTCGGCTCACTGCAACCTCTGCCTCCCAGGTTCAAGCAATTCTCATGTCTCAGCCTCCTGAGTAGCTGGGATTACAGGCATATGCTACCACACCCTGCTAATTTTTGTATTATTAGTAGAGACAGGGTTTCTCCATGTTGGTCAGGCTGGTCTCAAACTCCCGACCTCAGGTAATCCAACTGCCTCAGCCTCCCAAAGTGCTGAGATTACAGGCATGAGCCACCTTACCCAGCCCAAAACAGCTATTATAAATATATTCTGAATGCTCCAGAGTATAAGGAAAAACATGAACATAATGAAAGGAACAGAAGACATAAAAAAGAAGTGAACAGAACTTTTAGAGAATGATATACACACATCTGAAAGAAAAAAATTTACTGAAAGGGATTACACAGATTAGACACTGGCAGCAGAAAAGATCGGGCAGTTTGGGCCAGGCACAGTGGCTCACGCCTGTAATCCCAGCACACTGGGAGGCTGAGGCGGGAGACTCATTTGATGCTGGGACTTTGAGATAAGCCTGGTCAATATAGCCAGAACTTGTCTCTACAAAAAATAAAATAATAAAAAAATTAGATGTGTGTGGTGGTGCCTGCCTATAGTACCAGCAACTTGGGAGGCTGAGGTGGGAGGATCACTTGAGGCCAGGAGTTTAAGTCTGCAGTGAGCCTGATTGTCACTGCACTCTAGTCTGGATGACTGAGACCTTATCTTAAAAAAAAAAAAAAAGACCTGGTGCCGTGGCTTATGCCTGTAATCCCAGCACCCTGAGAGGCTGAGGCAGGAAGATAACCTGAGTTTAGGAGTTCGTGACCAGCCTGGCCAACAAGGTCAAAACCCATCTTTAGTAGAAATACAAAAATTAGCCAAGTGTGGCAGCACATGCCTGTGATCCTAGCTACTCGGGAGGCTGAGGCAGGAGAATTGCCTGAACCTGGGAGATGAAGGTTGCAGTGAGCCGGGATTCTGCCACTGCACTCCAGCCTGGGCAACAGAGCGAGACTTTTTATTAAAAAAAAAAAAAAAAAAGAGAGAGAGAATTTGAAGATTGCAATAGAATCTATCCAAAATAAAGCACGGAAAGGAAAAAGTGACTGGAAATGAGCACAGAGCCTCAGTGGCCTGAGGAATAAGCAGCTATGTGACCGGAGTTCCAGAGAGAGAAGAGAAAGGAATAAAATAAAAAAAAAATTTCATGAAGTAATGGCCTAAAACTTTTCAAATTTGATGAAAACCATAAACTTGCAGATCTAAGCTCCAAAAACCCCACGTAGGTAAACACACATATCTATAAAACGCATCAAGACGCATTATAATCAATTGCTGAAAACCAGCAATAAAGAGAAACGTCTTAAAAGCAGCTGGAAGGGGAGAAACACATTACATTCAGAGAATCAAAGATAACAGTGCCAGTCGACTTCTTGTCAGAGAGTGTGCAAGCCCAAAGACGATGCAACATGCTGAAAGAAAAATCAAAACAAAACTGTCAACCTAGAATTCCATAGCAGGCAAAAAAATATCCCTCAAAGAAGACACACTAACACATTTTTCAGACAAAACCAAAGCAGGGAGAATTAATTGCCAGCAGACCTGCACAGCAAGAAATATTAAAGGAATTTCTGCAGGTAAAAGAAGCACAACACCAGAGAGAAACGTGGATGTTTGAGAAGGGGTAAAGGGCACCCTCTTCAAATGGTAGATTTGTGGGTAAATATAAAAGATATATTCCTCATTTTCTTTTTTTTAAATTTTTGCCCATGAACCTGTAAAATCAAAAGCAATATTCCTCATTTTCAAATTTCCTTACAAAGCATTTGTTGGTTTTGTTTTGTGTTTGAGACAGGGTCTCGCTCTGGGGTGGAGTGGTGTGAACACAGCCCACTGGCACCTCGACCCCCTGGACCCAAGCAATCCTCCCACCTCAGCCTCCCATGTAACTGAGACCACGGGCATGGTGGCCTGGCTAATTTTCGTATTTTTTGTACAGACAGGGTCTTGCCATGTTGCCCAGGCTGGTCTCGAAGTTCTGAGCTCATGCAGTCCACCCATCTTGGCTTCCCAAAGTGCTGGGATTATAGGCATGAGCCACCACACCTGGCTGCATCTGCTGTTTAAAGCAAACGCGCGTGCGCACACGCACACACACACACACACATACACACACCCACACCCCTAATGTATTGTGGGGTTCATAAGATATGCAGAAGTAATAGATATAACAGCTCAAAGGATGGGAGGGTGAGAGGAACATATCATGTTTCATGTTGTCAGGGTATTATTATATCTTACGTGAAATGGTATAATGTTACTTGAAAGTATTTTGTAATAAATTAAAGATACATATTGTAAACCCGGAAAACCACTAAGAAAAATAAAACGAAGAAGTATAGTTAACAAGTCAAGAGCGGAGATAAAGAGAATCTTAAAAATCCCAACAGGCCAGGCACCGTGTCTCACACTGTAATTCCAGCACTTTGGGAGGCCAAGGTGGGCAAATCACTTGAGCTCAGGAGTTTGAGACCAGCCTAGGCAATGAAGTGAGATCCTGTCTCTACAAAAAATAAGAAAATTAGCTGGGCATGGTAGAGTGCACATACGGTCCTAGCTACATAGAAGGCTGAAGCAGGAGGATCACTTGAGCGTAGGAGTCATGTTTGTGCCACTGCACTCCAGCCTGGGTGACAGAGTGAGACCTTGTCTCCAACAAACAAACAAACAAAAAGTCCCAGTAAACCCCCAAAAAGGTAGAAAAAGAGGAAAAGG